GCTAAGATGGGTTTTCTTTGGAAGTTGAGTTTGATCTCAGTTTCGTTCAGGCAGGGTAAATTCATAACTAACAATATCAAGTACAAATACGAAAAAGCTAACAAAACGTAATCGTGTCAATAAGACCAGAACTCACCTCTATGTCTAGTGATGGATACTTCTTCCGCAGTGTACGTACCTGTAATCCCATGGATGAATCATGGACTTGTGATAATAAAACAAAAACAGTGACAATCAAATAAACGCTTAAAAACAACAGTTGTGCACCTTATCCATCATTTGTGGCATGAACTTCTGCCCACCAAATCCAGGTTCAACAGTCATGACAAGAACCAATTCCACTGGATTTTCATCTTCAAGCTGCAAAGCACGAAAAAGAAACAAATCATATTGGGATGGACTTTGTAGAAATGTATTTTACTTTTTCATTCACAAGCATTTTCACTTGTCCATTTTGGGGGCAAATATGGTAAAATGGATTAAAAAATATCTAATGTAAAAAATAAAATCTTGTCCATTGTACTCTTAGGTCCAGAACTACATAGTAGCATACCCTTTGTGTTTTCCTTACTTAAATGAAGTGTCAAAGCAACAAGGACAATGCAAACTTGAAAATCAGACAATATTGAATGTGTTTCATAAAAAAATCCCAACAAAAAGAGGTATTGGCTTACAAGTGGAAACACGTCTTCAATAGGAGTTCCTGGCTTCAGAGAAACTCCAGGCGTCATGCCTTTTGACTTGATCAGTTGTACAAGTTCTTTCCAATTATCTGCCAAAGATTCTTTTCTTTATTCATATGAATGGTGGGCTAAGAACTGACATTTAAAACAGCGGTAATTTAGAATCTACATTAGGGTTCACATTGCTATTGTCATTGCCTAACATAAATGGTGCGAAAAGACAGCTAAAAATGACAAACTTCAAACATTCATCCACCTTTGGAGACTTCAACGTGAAAAGTAAAACCTGAAGCTCCAGCTTTTCCTAATGGTTCGACGTAATCAAGAGGATTTGTGACCATGAGGTGGCAATCCAAATATGCCCTGAATAAACATTTATACTCTTCAATTACAAAAACACTAAGAAATAGCATTTTAGTAGGGAGCATTGTATAGCAATAGATTCTATCAAAGAAAAAAGAAGCTAAAATCTCGTTCATCATAATGTCTAATCTTCTCCTGAATACCAAACATGTTGTAAAGAATTACATAAGTTTGCTAGAGGAAGTACGAAAGGTTTACTTTGTGTGCTTTCTCAGACTCTCAATAACGGGAGCACCAATGGTAAGATTTGGGACGAAGTGACTGCAAAATTCCAAAAGTGCACGAGTACATAAAATTTACATGTTAGAAAAAAGGGGGGGAAGGGGGGGGGGGGG